CAATTTTATTTGCTACAAAGAAGGTCCAGTACTAAGATGTTTTAACTCTCTTACTTTTCGAGATATATTAAAAAAAATATGATTACTCTCTTACCCGATACTTTTTATTAAGTTTCACCACTGACAAGGACAGGTCTTACTCTCTCGGATTTTGTTCAAATTTTGCAGGATGATAGATTTTGCTTAYCTTTYTACGAATATATATGGTTATAGGGGCCACTACTCAATAATTTTTGAGATATTTGCAATTAAAAATACTTATGATGTTTTCTAGTGTTTAAATATACTTCTGAAGTAAGCAATGGTATGTTATAGGTTTAATATAATGATGACAATGCGGCGATTCGCTCCAAGAGTGGTCGATTCTTTTAGAGTTCGAATCTTGGGAGGTAAGTTTTTTTTTTCTATTTTTATGTGTAAAGATACATAAAAAAGTTTAAATAAGTTGAAAATGAAATGTCCTAAATGACTAGAAACCTTATAAGAGTTTTTTTTTTTATTAGCATTTGTATATGTTCTCAATTCTCACTATTTTCAAAATAAATATCAATGATTTTAAAAAAATACTAAAATATCGAGACAAATTTAATTTTTTTCGGAATCAGAAGTATGTATTCTTCGGCATCGATATGTTTATTGCTGGGTACATTCAGATTCTCACGTAGGGCTGGATAACTGTTTACTTTTTATTCTCACTTGCGAAATGCTTTTATTGTTTTGTAATAAATATTATTCTGTACATATGGGGCATTCCATGCCAAATCGGACGGTTTTAAAAATTTTTATTTTTGATTTCCGCCATTTTTTGATATCTTTTAGTATCCATGGAAAAACCCTTCCTCCTAAATTTTGGCATTTTTTTGATTATCCGTTCCAAAGATATTGAATTTTAAAAAGAAAACAGCTCTTTCTGTGGTTTTTGGCTCATAACTTTTTTAAAACTCATCCAAATGAAAATTACCATTCTACATAAAAGTTTTGTTTTTCAATGTACTTTTCGAAAAAAAGTTCAAAAAAATTATTTAAAATGTCTTAATACGTAATTTTCGATTTTTAAATTTTAAATTGCATTTTTTACAGTAAGTGCGTATTTTGATTTTCTTCAAAATTGTTTACAGCAAACTATTACTAATTCCACAACTTTATAGGCCGGTCTGGTCGTGGGCCTTCGATAACTACTGTTTTTTTTTCGATTTTTGAAAATTAAAATAAAATTTTATTTTTTTATTTTATTAAATTTTGTCATTTATTTCTCTCTTTTAATGTATTTTGAATCACTTTTCATATTTTTTTTATTATAACAAGCGTAGAAAAGTCTTAATTACTGATTTAGATTAATAATTAACAAAAATAAGAAAAGTCTTGATTTATTTTCGTGATTTTTTGAGAAATTTTGGCAGTCTAATCATTGATATTTATTTTGAAAATAGTGAGAATTGAGAACATATACAAATGCTAATAAAAAAAAAACTCTTATAAGGTTTCTAGTCATTTAAGACATTTCATTTTCAACTTATTTAAACTTTATTATGTATCTTTAGATATAAAAATAGAAAAAAAAAAATTTACCTCCCAAGATTCAAACCCTAAAAGACTCGGCCATTATTGGAACGAATCGCCGAATCGTTGTCATTATACAAAACCTATTACATACCATTGCTTACTTCAGAATTAAATTTAAACACTAGATAGCATCATAAGAATTTTTAATTGCAAATATGTCAAAAGTTATTGAGTAGTGGCCCCTATAACCATATATATTCGTAAAAAGGGAAGAAAAATCTATCATCCTGCAAAATTTGAACAAAATCCGAGAGRGYAARACCTTGCGCTGTCCTTGTCAGTGGTGAAACTTAATAAAAAGTATCAGGTAAGAGAGTAATCATATTTTTTAAATATATCTCGAAAAGTAAAGGAAAATACAATATCTTTGTCCTAGACCTTTTCTGTAGCAAATAAAATTGTCTACAAAACAAAATTTATAAAAAATCGCTTTATCTCGCTTACTTTTTGAGATATTTT